AAATGAGCTCCCTCCCGACATGATTCTCTCTGGAAACAAATGGCTTGGATCCAAGAACTGCAACGGGCTTTTAGGACGATGAGAGGTCTCTGGGTCCCAGGGCCACCAGAAGCTTCTCTTTCTCCTGGAAGTGGCTTTAATGAGGGAGAGGAAATGAGTCCTGTGAGCTGCCACAGCCAAGGCTTCCTCTTTTGTTTTAAGTTACAGAGCTCCTGAGGCGAAGCATCGTCCTCCTCTCTGGAGAGCAGACAAGAGCAATTAAAGGGGAGGGCCAGACAAATGCTGGGAACTGAGATACTAGGAGCTGCTTCCACTACCTCCTGCCCCAAGGGGGCTCCCAACCCCCTTCAAACTTCCTTCACCCTGCCACAGAGCCCTCACCACCCAGCAAGTGGTGCAGTCAGCCTGGTGGCAAGAGGGAGGTGGCAGTCACTGCCAAGGCTTGCTGCTCTGGTTGCTTTCATCTCTGCCCTGTGCCAACCAACCTGTGAGGTAAAAGAACAGTGTGGTTCAGTAGGCCAAGCTGCAGCCCAGGCTGGGAGCTCCTGCCATGACCCCATTTCTTATTCCGTGCCCACGGCTGCTGCCTTCCCTTACATGTGGGAAATAAAAACACTAACCTGTCTCCCCAGGCTGTAAAAAGTAACGACTAATATAAAAAAGGGAAAATAAAAGAATAATAGGGCACTCTGTTGGTATACCTCACACACATATTAAACAAGGCCACCATGAGGGTACCTCAAGCACAGTCCTGAGGACTGTGGTGAGGGACTCTGCACAGAGGGTCCTGCCTCAGATTGTCGAGTCCCCTGAATATATAGTTGCCATCTTGCCACGTCTCAGCTCTGTTCTAGGAAAAGGGACTTCAAAGATTTTCACCAGGCACCCACATAGCCAAAGTCTGGGCCACTAGCAGTCTCTCTCATTTTCAATTTGAATACATCAAAGAATCCAGGAAGACAAGTAAAGCACCCCCCCACCCCTCTACCTCAGAAAGGTCTCCTTCTAGGAACAAAGAAATGAATAAGGCTTCCTAATAATACGCCCCCACAATTCTCTGGCTTCTGATTGGAAGGATGGATCAAAATGTGACCATCAAAAAAAATCCGTTCTGCTTGCTCTTCTGGCTTAATCATTTCTCTTCTTGTTGTTTCTAGACCTGAATTCCAAGGGTCAGAGACTAGAAATCCTTACCATTATTGAGATATTTTCACTTGTATAACCTATGGGTACTTTGAATTGTTCCACAGGTTTTTGATATAGACCTGTAGTCCCACTTGGGAGGCTGTAAAGTTCAGTCCAGCCAGGCTTCAAAGTGAGTTCAAGACCAGTCCGGGCAATATAGTAAGAGCCTGTCTTGGGGATAAAGTTCAATGGTAGTGTTTGCCTAGCATACATGAGGTCTTGTGTTCATTATCTAGTACTGGTATGTATGTATGTATGTATGTATGTATGTATGTATGCATGTATGTAGGTAGGTATGTATGTGTGTCTCTACAGATAGATATTATATCAACTGCCTTGGTAGTGTCATCTCATTTGTTTCACATTTCTTTGTGGATTTGGTTTAGGTTTGGTTTTGTTTCTTTGCTTGATGCAAGGTGTCTATGTAGCTCTGGCTGGGTTGGGGTTACAGTAAATTTCCTGTCTCTGTGTCCAGAGTACAAACATTCAGGCATTTGCCACCATGTCCAGTATCCAGTATGCTTTTATATTTATATCTAAAAATGCTTCAGGTACTGGCATCCTAGTACTTGGGAGATAAGGATAGTCAGTTTATCTCAAAAGAAAAGAAAAAAGGAAGAAATGTTTTAAAACTGAGTTGTTACTTTATACCAGTTACAATGGCTACTGTTTGAAAAGGACAGGAACTAGCAAGTGTTAGAGAGGCTGTAAAGAAACTGGTATCTCTGTGGACTGTGGATGAGAATGTAAAATAGTGGAAAACACCATGGAGGTTCCTCAGAGAGTTCTGAAGAGATTATCATAGTACCTAGAAATTTGTTTCTGGGTATAAACCCAAGAACTGAAAGCAGGAACTTGGGGTTTCTGCATACCTATGAACATAGCATCACTATTCACAAAAAGTAAGAGGAAAACTAAGAATGCATCCATCTGTGGGTAAATAAGGGAAATGGGATCTAAAAGGGAAGAAAATGCTGGGACATGTTATAACAGGCATAAAAGCTTGACATTACATGAAATCAAATAAATCAGAGAAAAAGATGAATGTTCTGTGGCTCTACTAATATGAAGCCAAGTTTGTAGACCTTGACAGGACTGGGTGAAGGGGATATAGGAATTACAATGTAATGGATATAGATTTTCATATTGGCAAGGTGAGAACTTCTGGAAATGGGTGAATGTTCACACTCCAATTGGACTACTTAAAAGAATCAAGGTGCCAGATGTTTATGTCACGTATATTTTACCACCATAACGTTTACCAAATTTATAATACCCTCCAAGGAGGAGAAACAGGATTTCTAACGACCTTTGTAGACTCCAGAAGGTGGCCAGAGAACCTCTGTACTGCCCATCTCTGCAGCCTTTGGTTTTGTTGGTGTTGGTTTGGTTTGGTTTGAGGTATGGAGAATGTTCCTGTGTTGTTAAGCCTCACAGCAACTGTTGTGACTGGAGGATGATTTGGGCCTGGTGGTCCCCTCTTCTTTCCATGATTTCTCAGCTGGTCAAGTCTTTCTGCCACCCATTTACACATTCTCCAGGATACCTTCCAGTGTACCTGACTAGGAGGAACCCAGTTTGAACCTCCCATGATTGTGGACTCTCACATTGGGTAGGAATCCTCCACGCTGCACCGGGAGGGGAGTCAGGGTACCCCTGTTGTAGAGTATGTTCCCTCCAAATGGAAAGTTTTGCTTCGAAAGAGAAGGCAAGGCCCACGAGTATCAGTAGGTAAACCAAAGGACACATGGTAGGGGAGATTAAAAAAAACTTGAGGGATTCTTGAGGTTCCCCTACCAACAATAAAAAGGAGGTAAGCAGTTGCTGGGGTGGGGGTAGGGACCAGTCAAACTTCGGAGAAGGAGATGTTCCCACTGTGGAGATGCCTACAAGAATCAAGAGAGAGCTGCAAGGTTGCAGTGCTCAGGTGTCTTGTGTTGGGGGTTGGACTTTCTGTGAGACCACTCTCTTCTGTTACCCCTGCTCTTTTGTAACTAGCCTCTCTCTTATACTCCCATTAGTAACCCCAATTTAAAAAAGAAACTCATTGATTAACCAAATTGGACACTGGGAGAATCGTTCCTTTGTTCCGTGTTCAGTCTCCCTTTCTGGGGTGAGTAGACATACCTGTTGCATCTCACCAGAAAAAAAAAAACCTGTCACACAACACTACCTCAGCTGCACCTCCTGGCTAGGGCAGTGTCCCTTGCCCAGGACACCCAAAGGTTCTTCCTGACTTGCATCACTTGTGAGATACCACCAGACTGGCCCCTCCTCAGTAGTTACCTTTCTCCCTAGAGACAGAAGGGCTTCCTCTCTTCTAGGCTAAATCTCTCAATTGCACACTTTCTTGGCATTGGGTGCTATTATCTTTATCCACCCTCTGTCTGCTTCCTTCTGTCTGCAGGAGCTTCAGCTGGCTAAGGCTTTCATTTCATAAAACCGGGGCACCTTGCCCTAATTCATGAGACTTCCTATCTCAGGCCAAAATGAAAGCTCCGAAGACTGAATGATAAGAATGATAACGGAGGTGTGTCCAAAGGATTCGGGCTGGCTGTCCAACCTGGAGTGGAGAGGGTACCAAGCAAGCAGCCCACACCTGCCCCAGGGCCTGGGAAGGTGAGCTTCGGGGAAGGGGAAGGGCAAGTGTGGAGTCCCAGAATCCCACAGTGTTCGGTTATAGGAGTAAGGGGAGGGGTGTCAGGCCCCAGAGTGCCTGTAGAGTTGGGCAAGGGACTGTCCCAAGCCTAGCCTGGGGTCTTAACCTCTACCCACTTTCAACTTATTGCTGCTCCCGTTAGATGGCGCTCAAGACTTTCTAACCATTTGTGAAAGTGCTCCCGGCCCGGAACAAAAAGAGCCGTTGGGAGTGAGAGTGTGTGGAGTGGGCGTGCGCGGGGGAGGGGGGAGGTTGGAGGGGGGGTGCGCACAAGGCGCGGTCGTCGCCTGGCACCACGAGGAGCAGTCACGGGTCAGCTGGCCCCGGGCGGGGGTGCACCCCAGGCAGGGCCTCCGCAGCGGGCCCAGAACTTTCGCTGCTTGCTCTCTGTTTCCCACCCCGGTTTTCCCCTGGGCCGGTCTGAGGAGTCAGGCAGATGGGTTTCGGCCTCGGGAAGCCCGGCGACAGCACACCATGCAGGCCCTCTGAGCTCCGGAAGAAAGAGGCCCGGCACTGAGCAGTGGGGCTGGGGTTCAGACCCGTCCTCCCCACGCGCACCCCACGCAGTTTCTGAGCCCTCAAGCCCCCCAGCTCTGCACAGCAGCCCGGGCTCTCTGACAGGGCTTGGGGCAGGTGCTCTCCAGTGAAATGGTTTCTCAACGTAATGTTTGGTTTTTTTAAATCTTTTTTAAAAATTTAAATTAAAAACAAGGTTGCTTCACATGTCAATCCCAGCTCCCTCTCCCTCCCCTTCTCCCTCTCCCCTTCAGCCCCCCAGATCTCCACCCAATCCCCCCCTCCACTCCCCAGGGAGGGTGAGGCCCTCCGTGGGGTATCTCCAGAGTCTGTCATTTCATCCAGGGCAGGGTCTAGGCCCTCCCCCATGAATCCAGGCTGAGAGAGCATCCCTCCGTGTGGAATGGGCTCCCAAACTTAAGGTTTTATAAGTTCGCTGAGTGTCTGTCTCCAACAACACAGGGCAAACTTTTTTGTCCCCGGGGCCGATGACTCCCGAGTGAAGTCAAACCACTTTCCTTTTAAAAACATGATATGAAAGAAAATAACGAAAGGCGCTGGACACCCTGAAAATGACCACTCATTTTCCTATTATTGTGTAAAGAGTGATCAGGGAGCGAGCTTTCCCCGCTCACCTCTTCCGTCACACTCTACCAGAAAGGTCTTGACAGTCAGCGAGCGGGTACTCTGGTCCTTCATTTTTCGGTCCCTCGGAGCCCTAGGGACTGTGCGCCCCGCCACCCCCAGTACTAGAGGGAGCGGACACCTTCCTTTGTGAGTTCCCTTGGCTGGGAACTTTCCCGCGCGGTGGGTTCCCTTTAAGAAAGTACCGATTGCTATGAATATTTAATACGGAGCTGAAGTCCACCGGGCCGAGGGGGAGACCCGGCTCAGGCTCTGCGGCCCGGCAGCACAGCAAACACATCCCCACCCGACCCGCCAGGGTAAGATGTGAAGCGGAGGACCGGGAAAAGCTCATCAAAGAAGGGACTGGGGACCAGGGGACCCGTTTGGGTCCAGCAGGCGGGCGCGGGTCATTTCCATAAGAAAGCCGCAACCCAGCTGGGGTCTGCGGCTCTCGCAGGCCTCCCTGCCCCCACCGCCGGTGACTGCCGGACTCCGGCTCCTCTGGAGCCCAGATCTAGGCAAGCGGCGTGGTGTGGGTAGGTGTTGCTGGGATATGGTTCCCAGCGTTGCACGACACAAGACCGGTTTCCAGTCTGGAGGGAGTGGACCAACCGTGCGGGGTGAGTCCAGGGAGCTGAAGAGCCAGCACAGGACGAAGAGAGTGCCGGGAACTTAGCCCTGGGCACCCTAGATCACCCCGTCCTGAGAAAGACTCAGACAACGGTGTGGGTGGGAGTGCCGGGAGAAAGCCCCAGAACCCAGGATGCCGGCCAGCTGCTCTTTCAAATCCCCAGAGCTTTCACTTTCAGCGGGTGACCCTCTTCCTGCGAAGGGCTGGAAAGTGAACTTGGGCAGACACTTGATCTCACTAGTGAGGCCGTTCTTTCTCTGTTTGCACTGAGTTTCTTCGCTGCGTTTAGCGCTCATGAGTCCTCAGCACACACACACACACACACACACACACACACACACACACACACGCACTTTATGACCTCATCTAGAGAAATCAAAACTTAGATCTGTAGTTAACACTACAGTGTACAAAAAAGCAGAGGGGCGAATGTGTGAGACAGATAGATGTCTGTCTGCACTTTGCCTTCTCCTGGGGAAAGTTGCCTGGAAATGACTAGCTTTCTTTTACTAATTCTGAAACACCTGTGTTTTGCCACAAAACTCAGTTGGGTCACTAATAAAGCACCAGTTACATGGTCCCACGAAATACCAGTTATGCCTATTAACGACTTTATTGCTTGTGATTATAGTTGAGAACTTCCAACTCGGTCAATATAATCAAGTGTTTGTTTTTAAACAAAAAATAGGCTGCCTATGCTTTTTACACCATCCCTCCCCTACACCCCCAGGAAGTTAGAAGGTCAGGCATGATGTTTTAAGGAGTTTGGGTGTATTCCTTGTCAGGGCTGAAATTGTTTCTTTCAGTAAAGTTCGTTGCAACTTCTGGTAAATAATGGAACCTTGGTTTCTGATCCTGCCAAGTGTGTAATTGATGGTGGTGGTTACAAGCGACTTGGTTTGGAAGTGGAATTGGGGCAAGGTGAGGTACAGTCTCTTCCAGTATCCTGGTGATGGTGAAAACCGGAGGCCATTTAAAAGAACAAGTTGTTTTAACTTCTCCTTCAGATGGGGTAACGCCTGTGGGGGTGAGGAGAAGGAAGAGAGTAAAAGCTGCCGAAACTAAACAGCCATGAAGAAAATAAAAAATTGACGCTTTTTTTTTTTAGTGTCCTTTTTGCTCTCGTGGATTGAAATGGCTTTGGTGAGTCATACTTAAGGAGGAGTGTGGATGTCTGAAGAGGAGTTTATCAGTCTCAAGGCTACTGTGTGGCTGGGCCTCTTCTTCCAGGAGGCCATCTGCCGTTTCTCTCCGTCTCTTTGCCAGCTTCTTGTTATCCCCAAGTGGAAGTCCATGCTTGGTTGTGTGTGGGGGAGGCATGGAGCAAAGGAGGGAGTTAAATTGTTGGTCAAGTCCACAGTAAGAAACGGTGGAGCAACTTTGTAAGTCCTTCTACCCCTAGGAAGCAGGCAAGCAGAGCGATTGAGCCCTTGGAGGGGGCCAGCTTAGCTTGTATGCCACCTCTGCTCACAGTATCCTCATCCTGGCTTTCTAGAACATTGGTAGTGTTGGGGGCAGTGAGATTAAGTCTGTCTTACTCAAGACATCTGCCCAGCACCTCGGCTTCTGGGTGGAAGCCCATAGCACTAGCTATGGTTCTGCTGTACCTTCCAGGGTGGTATGGACATAGAGGTCTAGGCTGTGTGGCCCACACTTGACCTGCTTGGGATTAGCAGGTCCTCTGCTCAGCAGTAGCAAGGCTTTTGATTTTTCGGAGCACTGGGTGGCCTCTTCCCTTATATGAAGCCCATGGACCTCCTCCTCACTTCTGATATGTCAGAGTTAATTGCCCAGCAGTGGGGTGTCGTTCATGGTGGGATGGCCAAGAAATACTGCAGGAGAGGACAGTGCCTCAACAGGTAAGAGGGTGGCATGGAATTCTCTTTCTCTTTGGTATCCAGAGGGTCCTGAAACCGAAACTTCCTTCTAATGGGTTGGTGCTTGGCATTTTCTCCTCATCGGTCCCCCAGGGATAACCCCTTTTCTGCCTAGCTTAGGTTGTTGGCATCCCGAGTGGGGGCCTGAAAGTAAAACTAGTCTTGCTTTTAGTGGCCAGCTCACCCCAGTGGCACAGCTTAAAGAGAGTGTCCGGGTCAGCAGCAAATGTCCTCTATTCCTAAATGTTCTGAGAACAAATTCCCTGCCGATGCCATGGAAGAGTGAACAAGGCAGAGCTCCTCCAGCTTCCCTACCAAGTCCATGGTGGAGTAGGACGGGGTTTGGGAACAGGGAGGTCAGTTTCTCTACCTGGAAATAGGGTAGGTAGCGTAGGATAAATCAGAGACCAGGAATATCCTGAGACTGGGAGAGGGGTGATGCTGGCCTTAGGTCTGGTGGCTCTGTGGTCAAATTCACTTGTTCCAAGAGGTCTAGGATTCCATGATAGAGGAAAGACCAGAGCTCTCTCAAAGTGACCAGAAAAACTGGTCCTTACACCTGCCCCCGCCCCTCCATTCAAAGAGGTCCACAGAGCACTGTAGTCTGAAGACCTGTCTCTCAGGACACCTGGTGGAAGAACCTGGGGTTTCTTCAACTTGTAAGCTTTGGAAATACACTGGTAAGGAGGAGTGCCTCCTTCTTTCAGATTAGGTCTCTTAAGGCCTTAAAGTTTTCTCAGGATGCCAGGTAGGCTAGGGGGAGGTTGACCCATCCCCAGAAATCCAAGTCTATAAAAATGAGCGTTTTCTAAGAAAAAATTTTTTACAGCTTTAAAGATTTTCCTATCCAGAATTCATCTGCTTTTTATGAGAGTGTCTTGTTGGCAACCAAAGCCAGCTTCACCTCTTTTTTCTTCTTTGTGGCATTTTAGGAGGGCTTATTTGATGTTGTTTGCCGTTAGTTCCGCTGTCCCCACCCTCACCTGGCTCTTTGTATGGAAATTCCACATGTAAGATCTTTACATGTTTTTCTTCTAGTCTCTTTTATTAGAAAATTTAACAAGACATAGACACACTAAGTTTCATGAACTACATTGGACGGATCAGCAAAAGTGCATCTCGTTTGGGTATAACCAAAGGTGGGGGGCTGTGTCACTCACTGCCTCCTGAAACCTCACCAAGAAGGTCTCACTTCGATAAACTAGAACTTTCTAGAAAACCCTGCTGAGGCCATTCCTGTGAGGAGAAGGGGAGGACTCTGGAGAGTTAGCTTTAGGAATAGGGTTCCTCTCAGCACCTCAGGAGACCTGGGAGGCTCGGCTGGACAGTAGGTCTGTAGTAATCTCTATGGGCTTCTGTTTGGGTTGAATTAGGGAAGGAGACACCTTTTCTTAAAAAGGGAAGGGACAGTCACTGACTATATTTCAGGCACTTGTCAAACCTTTTCCTAAAGTTGTATCCTTACCGCCTACCTTGTCACATGAGGAGAGACATTGTAGAGTTTTTGTACCTGCTCCTGGCTCTGAACTCCTTAGATGCTATCTTAGCACACTGAGCTCTACTCTGCAGTTCCTAAAGGGAGGGGAGTATGGGAGCCTGGAGCTTACCCTTCAATGTGGGGATGGATGTCTTTAAAGTAATTAGTTGTGATTTCTTCTTTCTCTTTTCCTCTCACCTGCCCAGGGCAGATTTCAACCCCACCAGTCTCTTGGTAGTAAAGCAATGACCAAGTTGGCTTAATGGTTGGGAGATGCCCACCTAGTCTCTATGGGTCCCACCTCATGGTAGGAAGGGGCAGGGCGGGTGTCGAAGACATCTTTTCCACATCTCTTTCCTTGCAAAGGCCATACTGAGTCAGACAGCCACATCACCCAAGGAGCCTTCTCCATTTGTGAGCTCTCTTCCTCTTCCTCAGCAGGGAGGCTTGCTTCTCCAAGTCAGACTGCAACCCTCACCAACCTTACCAAGACAACCAAGAGCAAACTGTGTTTCTCACTGGGGGCTTGGGCCACAGCCTTGCTGAGCTGCTTGGGAGATGAGCTAGAAATAAGTCCCCAAAGGCCCAGGCACAATCATGCACCCAAGCCCCTAGAGGTCTGTGGGATAACAGGGCTCTTAGGCTGAGGCCCTGGGCAGCCAGTCACACACCACTGACATCTTTCCCCTCACAGAATAATCAATCTGCTCTGTATCTTGGGAGCTGGGAACATGCCTGCTAGGTGTGTGGTTTTTGAAAGAGCCCTGGTGGTAGGTTTGCAGGAAGCCTTTGTTACAGCTTTGTTAGAGCAAGCTTCCAGCAGCTCTTCCAGACCCTTCCCTGTCTTTCCTCTACCCTGCAGAGGATAATCTGCCTGGGGTCTACTGCCTGCTACAGATACCATCCTACCAAATGTTTGCTCCTAACTTAGAATCTCTCCTGCAGGTCTGGACAGATAAACGTGGTTTGTATGGCCTTTGGGACAAGGCTCTCCATCCCCATTCCTCAAAAGCCGGCATCCTGAAAGTGACCTCCTGATGCTGCTGCACATTATGGCCCCATGGTAGCTCTCCTACCGTGGCAGGGACAACTGAGATTGACACTCACAGGGCTCCAAAGGGAGGAAGACACCTGACCTCACCTGGTAAGGACCATGACAGAAAGAGCTAGCGGATGGAGGATGCCAAGCTCTGTACTACCTGGCTGGCACTTTGAAAACGGCAGCCAGGTTGCAGGGTTTGTGGGTACAATTGCTTTTCCACTCTGTCGTCATAAGTATAAATCCTCCTTAGCCAGGGTGCGGCTTTAAACACGATCCCCTGAAGGGTGCTCTGGCACACAGAGGACGGAAACACTGTTTACATACACACCAGCTTGCATGCACAGCGTTACATATAGCCACTCCCCACCCCAAGCCTTCCTATTCCATTTGTCTTCCTGTTTCTTTTCCAGGCCTTTCTACCTGCACACATAGTCACTTGGAGAAAATCAAGTGTATGTACCGTCTCCCTGCAGATGGTGTATCTGTAAGGTAAGGCATTCACATTGGGATCGCTCAAGTTACCGTTTATTTATTTATTTTTGTTCCCAGTCAACTAGCTTGGTTTTCTGGCAAGGGCTGGGGAGATACAAATGAAGTAGAGGCCTCATTCTCTGGGGGCTTTTGTTTCCCTCTAATGCCCCGGCTCACACTCCAGAACAAAGGGGTGAGGGAAGTGATTTCTCTTTTGGTCTCCTGGCCCCTCACTTCCACAGCTCCTCTGTAGGCTTCCTCTTTGAGGCTCCCAGGAGAGCCTGGGGGGGGGCAGGTCCATGTGTAACTGCTGCTGACCTTGCCAGCCCCTCCTCTTTGAGAAGCAGAAAGCCCATTGCATATGCTAGCTGCTCAGTGCCTTTGGGTGCCTACCACTTCTGCTCACCCAATACTGCATAGGCTGAGAGCTCCACACACCTCTCTAATTAAAAGCATCAGGACAAGGGCTGGTGATTCACCTCAGAGGTAAAGAGCTTAAAGGAACCCTCCCCCCAACACACACACACACACACACACACACACACACACACACACACACACACCTAGAAGCTGGCTCCATCTTACAGTGCTTACCTAGCATTCGCAAGGCCCTGTGTTCTCATCACCGCAGAAAACAAAAAACACATGGGACAGCTATTAAACAGCTCTTGGAAGAGGTTAAAGGTCTTTCTCTCGGGGTTGAGAATTTTTAAAAGCCCTTTTGGGTAGAAATCTTCAGGGGATACAACATAGAAATTAGATGTGCTGGTGCAATTTTCAAATCTGAAAGACCTCTCTCCCTAAAAGTGTTCATTGAAAGTGGTTCTTAGAATCTATTTTGCTTGCCGACTGGCTTTTTTACCATTGTAAGTCAGGAGAGTCTCCAGGCCAAGCCACTAAGACTTTTATTTTCCCTTGTGCTAGTTTTGGGGTGCTGCTCCACTTTCTGATAAGATCTACTGAATTTTTCTTTAATTGTGCAGGTGAAAAGCTAACCCTTTCCCTGCCAACCTTAGAACATGCCAGCTTGGCTTCTACTCATAGAGGTGGGCTGGGCACTGTGTCCGACCTGGGTGGGATGGGGGGCGTTTGACACTTTTCCTTTCAGTGCTGACATGGGAGCCTTTGGAAACCATTATCTATTTTATTTCAGTGTGCAAAGTTCAAGCCAGTGATGCCCGGATCCCTCTTCTGCCGAGAGCAAGTCCTGGAGGGCACAAGTCATCCCTGAGCTCTTGAAAGTGTTTCAGCAAAAATAATATCTTGTTCATAGAAGAAGAAGAAGAAGAAGAAGAAGAAGAAGAAGAAGAAGAAGAAGAAGAAGAAGAATTAAAAAGATGTCTTTATTTCCCTTATGCAGTGTCTGTCCTAACACTTGCCCCTTGTAAGCTGTCTAGTTGTTAGCAACTTACAGAGTCACAGTCACAGATGTGCCCCGTGCTTTCCTTTCTAGTCACTGAAAATGGAGAATTTACATTTAATTCTGTCTTCCCCTGGACTGTTCTCACCAGAGGGTGGGGCGGGGGGGGCATGTGGAGCAAAGTCCAAATGAAAAGATCAGCCTTGTGACCCAAGTAAGTGGCACAGCCACACACCTGGGCAGTGCATCCCATAGAGAGACCCTCAAAGTCTGGAAACTGAGTTTTGCAGAGATTTTCTATCCCTTGTATTCTTAGCCAATTCCAGTTATTTACATTTTCGTTGCGTTCCCATGCAAAGCACACATGTAGAGGGTCACATGACCTCACATTCCCCGCTGAGCCACTCCACTGATGTCCAGCACACAGCGGAAGAACCAGAGAACGAGTCTCTTCTCAGGTATTTTAGAAGGTCATTTCATAGTGCTTGATATATCCACGGACAGAAACTGTCCAGGTGCTCATTACCTACGCCCCCCCCAAGAAACAGGAAAACTGCTCCTTCTTTTAAAAAAACTAGCAATGTTTCTGAAGTAGAAGGAAACTCACCGAGGTCCATTAGCGACTTACATACAGAATATGGCTTGTCTGGGGAAACTATATTTGCAAATAAACAGCTCACTGTTAATAGGCATCTATGCATTTTTTAATTCAAAAGAAAAAAAAGGAGTCGTGTTGCCTTGTTAACACATCCTAGAAGAGAGGGTAATTCACTTCCCTTTTGCCTCCCTTAAGTCGTGATGCATCCTGTTGGTTGTGAGGTCCCCTAGTTCTGCTTACTAGGATGACCTAGGGCCATGACACTTCTCAAGTTTGCAGTTTGCAAAATTTTAAGGGCTGCAGAGGTCTGGTTCTCTAGGAGTAATACCAGAGCCTTGTGAATTTGTGTCTGTGTTGGGGGGGTGTCACATTTGTCAGTGTTTTATGTAAAGCTAAGCCCCTCCACATTTTGTGAGGTTAGAAGCAAGGTCAGCATGAATCTTTCCTGGTGGGACTCTGGGTAGCATTCTGTCAGCTCCCGAGCTGCAGAAGACATCGGGCATGGTAGGCTTGGGGCTTCCCAGTATCCCAGCTGAGACCTGACGCTTAGGTGATCACATAAGATCTGGCAACAAGCTGGCCACCTCGGTGTCTTTGTGGCCCTAGAGAAGCCAAGGCCTGGTCCAAGTGTTCAGGGCTACTCAAGAACTCTACGCTGAGAAAGGCCTGCGTGGGCCCCAAAGGCCCAAAATTTTCACAAAGCTTCGTGCCCTAATCCCAGCTGCTCCACAGTCCCAGCAGCAAGGACTTTCATACACTCCCAAACAACAAGACCTGCCCGCACAAGGCACAAGGTCATTCTGCTCTGACTGCCTCCCTCTCCACTTTTGGAATGCTGCAAAAGAAGTCTCGTTTGGAACCGTGTTCTGAGGCAAAGCATCAGTCTTCACGCGCAGCATCCTATGGGAGAGGCGCGAAGTTTGCCCCTTGAGTACAATAAATCTCAGGCTCTAGTCCGAGGCCTGGGCCACAGTCTTTGAAGACCCAGGGGGTCAAGAGTCTTTACTTTGTCCTGGGCCCCAGGCTCCAGGACTCCAGAGCAGCTGGGAGGAGAATTTCTGGGAAAGTCTGGGTCAGCGAGGCCCTGAATTGAACTCTCTATCGAGCAAGCAGGAGGCAGGAGACTCACGACCCCACAACAGAAAATCCAAGAACAACAGACGTTTCTATTTTACTTCCCACATGTAGAACAAAAAAAGTGATAGCCAGACCTCCAAACTTAGGCCGTCAGAGCCTTCAACAATTCCTCCAACCTTTCAAAGAAACTTCCAGAACTTTTCCTGCCCGCGCTCTTTTTCTCAGGCTTCCTCTAAGCCAGTGGGCTGGTGGATTACTTCCTCAACTGCCACAGTCTCCTCGGTGTCCAAGGCCTGAGGATCTCCACAATAGCAATAGTAGGATTGCGTTGGGGAAGAACTAGAGAAAAGAGTAGAAATGTTGATGAAAGGGTACATTTCAAAAGGTTTCAGTTATCAGTAACCTCGATAGACAACTCCACTAGAAGAAGAAGAAGAAGAAGAAGAAGAAGAAGAAGAAGAAGAAGAAGAAGAAGAAGAAGAAGAAGAAGAAGAAGAAGAAGAAGAAGAAGAAAATTTACTACTGTTTTTGAAAGCCGTTACTTTTTACATCGCTTTTAGGAAGATAGATGAACAAAACATCACGTTTCAAGCCATTTTGATCTGTAATTAAATGGCAGGATCGGTTTGTATTCTCCTACGGCTTTTACAGAAGTTGCAGTGATCCAAAGTCGGGTTGCTGTGTCAGAGTGGCATTTTTATTAATGAGAATACAAAAAGCTTGCATATTCTTAGCCCGGCTTGAATTTAGTTGCTAAGCAACCGGTGTATGGTAATTCATCCGCGAAATTTAAATCTTTGAGAAAGGATCCTGCGTTTTTGCTGAATGGTCTCCACGAGGAAAACAACTTGTGGGACCCGCTGCAGCTGCCACCCGGGGCCTTGCTGGGCTGAGCCTGGACCGGGCCGCCCCGCAGCCACCGCCACCACCCCACCTCGGCTCCCAGCAAGTCCCTCATTCAGGAGAGAAGCAGGCTTTTTGGCTGCCAGCTGCCTGGGCCCCTCCCGCTTGCCTTCGGTACTCACTGGTTTTCACCTGAGGCAAACCTTCACCTGACTGTGTCGCCAGTGTCCCTAGGGCTTCCCAGTCCAGACCTGACTATGAATTTTCCCATCCCTTCCCTTTGCGTACGACACACACACACACACACACACACACACACACACACTGGAGCGGCCAAGAGAATGCCTGTTGCCCTCTTCCCAGACCCCTCTGAGGTCACTTCCAGAGCCCACTCTTCTTCGAGGAGAAGCGGGCTCATCAAGAACGCAGCCCACAGCCCACCAGAAGGCCAGGCCGCCGCCGCTGGCCGGCAGTGACATCATAGGCTCCTGCTCGCCAAGTTCGCGCCCACATTTAAGATACAGGAACAAACACGGATGTGAAATCAAGAATGAAAGAGAGAGTAATCTAATTAATAGGCCATGAGCCAGGCTAACAAAATCAAAGAATCTGATTACACAAGTACCCCTCTTGCTATCTCCGCCTCCCCCACCTCCTGCTCTTCCAGACTCCTCGCTAGCTATTTCCTTCCCCAGGCTGGAAAGTTCAGGAGGTAAACACAGAGCCCACTGATTTCCTTATTGAAATCAAGATCAAGCCTATCCTGGGGCTCCCGCAGCCAGGAGGTCACATGGGTGACCTTCAGGCCCTGGGACTAGGAACCCCGAGGAATTGAAATGGCCATCCAAGCAAAGCAACCGAAAGCAAAGAACCCTGGCTGGTCCAGTGAAGCAAGGGGCTCCCAACTCTCTCACGCACCACTGCTAATAACAACACCTGCACTGATTACTTCTGTCCTCTGTAGCAGGACCGGAGAAAGGGGAGGGGGTGGGCTCCACCGCGGTCGTTTAAAAAGAGTCTAAGCATTTTTGTTGTTGTTAAGCCTAGCACTATTCTTTTCACTTTGTCACCTGCTCTGGATCACTGAAAGACTGGAACTCTCAGCTGCCTTTCTCTTCTTCCCCAACACAGAAATGCAAGCGCAGCCAGCTAGGTGTTGGCGTTTGTCAATGAAACACAGAACACCGCATCGGATGGGTATAGCCAGCCTTGTGCACTTCGGGAAAGAACAGTGTTATTTAATATCTTTCCATTTTAAGAGGGGGAAAAAGCAGGCCCCACATCCTAAATTACTAATTCCAAGCCTATACCTAGTGCCAATACCTGTTGCATTTATTTTAGAGTTGATTAATTACCATGGAACTTGGGCAAACTAAACTCCATGTGGAGAGAATGTTTGTTCCTTCAATTTAGTTCTGAAAGCTACAAGTTATTGATGGCTCTTACTCTATTTACATACAAATTGGTGCAAATATGCCCATCTCTTTAAATGCATTTTGTATACATATATAAAAGTGTCATTTTTGATTTAGCTTGAAGACGTTGATCATTTATTACAAAAATAAACGAATAAATACAACAATATATTGTTGCTTCCAACAGGATAAATACTTTACAAATATATAATTTAAAAAGCAAATTTAATTGTTAAAATTATTTAAAATATTACACTCATTGATAAAACTATGAAGAGCATATACTGCATTTGATATAAGAACCAATTATCCTCTGAATGTTGAAAACCCATTCATACAAAACAGATCATGAGCATGGTAACGAGAAAACACTGGAGGCTACGGGGAAGCAGAGGGAATCTCAAAGATCAATAATGGACAGTTCTTTTTTTTTTAAGGAAGAAATAATCCTTGACTGATACTAAGGAAGGGGAAATGCAGAGCAATAACAGCAAAATGACTTATATTTTTAACACACCTTGAATTATTTTTTGGAGAGAATTGTCAGGGAAAGATGATTGGGTGGACGAAGTCATGATCAAGGCTTGGATAATGGTTCAAGAGCCTCACTCTACTGTAAACTATGAGAAGGGGCCTATTTTGAAACTAGCCAGGCTGATGGGACAGAACTTTGTCACTTTCCTTTGGGTTGGAAGGGGAGAATGGGGACAGACTGAAATGGAGGAAAGGAATGGGTGGCTTACGAAGCACAAGACATTTGTGCTACAAAAGAACACAATGACCAAATTCATTAAAAAGATCTGGTGATATGTAACAATATTTTCATTATTTACACATGTAACAATATGAGCCTCAGCACAAAACCTCTCACTTTATATCTTCTCCTGTTGGGTCTCAACCATGAATTCCATTTTGTAAATACATTCGAAGGGTTGACTTAAAAAAAAAAAAAAGAAAAAGTGCAAGCGCCAGCATATTTTATCAAATGCAAAACAACAAACAAACCGCTTTGCTTGCCCAGTTTCTTTACCCCTAAATCAGGGTTTCTTCCAAAATAATCAGCAAAGGTTGCTTTTTAATAGGAAACAGTGTAAAAAAAAATCTCATGTTAGCTCCCTTGTCCTGCCTCAGCTAAATCAAGTAAGTAAATACCTCCTGAAAATTTAAATAGACCCATTCCCCCATCTTATCAAGTACCACAATTCCAGGAACAAAACAAAACAAAACAAAAAACACCTCCCTATAAAAAAAACCCTCAAGATTCCTCTCATATGCCACAAACAACCTGTCCTATACCCAGTTTCCAGCCAGGCCTTCTTGGTTTACCCTCACAGTCTCTCAAACAACAATAACAACAACAGCAGCAACAACACCACCAAAAGAAAAATCATGATGGACCTCACCCCACCCCCACTCCAAGTTGTTCCTGGGGGAGGGTAATAACATTAGCAGGAGAGCCAGAAAACAAGAAGGAAGAGAAAAGTAAAATGCAGTGTCTTATCTACACCCCTCTCTCTGTTTAATAAGTATGGCCTTTTTCAGATTTTACAAATCAGGATGATTGTGATTTTTAGTACAATTTAGTGTCTAAAATAATGCAACCCAATACGTGGCCATCTGGCTAGGCTAGATTTGTACCACAGGGTTTGTCTGGGAGAAATAACTGTTCCTTACTCTCATAGTTTCCCAGGATTTGTAAACCCCTGATTCTATATGGAGAGGGGAAGCAAGTGAAGGTGGCAGAATTAGGCAA